CGGCTTTCGGTGTTTTTCAAAATGGAACTCATGGCAGTAATACCTAGTCACTAATTGCAGCTGTCCAGATGTGGGCACGTTAAAGAGGCGCAGACTGTTTAATGTCCCACTGACATCCTGCTTGGGTCCCTGTATAAAGTGCCTGTGTGGCCTGAAGCATCTGCTGATCTAGTTCCACCAGATCTTCCTAACACAACAGCCTAGGAAGCAGACGTAGGCTCCACTGCTTCCTCTCTGTTTTACTATTATTAGTACTGTTATTTCCTTTTCTGTTCCATTGCTTCACGTTCTTGCTTGTCCTAACATTTACACTTTGGCCCTTTTGCTTGGTCCCTCCCTCTTCTTTATTGCCTTGCGTTATCGTTGTTTCCCCACAACTCTGCTCACTCTTTTCGTGCTCTCACCTGGCGAAGGGGAGGATTTTGCTAGCAGAGCATGAACTTCACATCAGGGGCTTCAGCTCCACATCACCATCAACTGCAAGAATCCTAAAAAATGAGGACATCTGCCTGATCGCTGAAAGGAGGGGTTACTTTAATTGTTAAGATTAGTTTCTGAGTCAAGAGGCTCAGGAAGACACGGAGCTAGTTGTTTTTCATCCAGGAGTGGATCTGTGGTTTGGCTTCACTATGGTTTCCTGTCGCATCTGTGGCCTCAGAGAGCTGGTCGCCATAGCATGTGGGCTGCTGACCACCATCGTCTTGGGACTGGGCATTTGGAGGTCGGTGGTCTGGCTCCAGAGAGGTAATGTAGTCCTACCTTTGCTTTGCACAGTGGAGGGCATCATGCCTCTGCCCTTGCCGCCAAACACACCAGCACAGGAAAGCAGTGTCAGCCGAGGCTGCCCAGCAAGGCGCCATGCACGAAATAGAAAGACAAGGGACTATTGATGGCTGAGCCACACGTGAGCGAGTGTGCAAATGTGCAAGGTGGAGAACAACATGGCTGAGTTGGTTTCTTTATGCTCTTGATAAAATTAATCATCGACTAATAATTAAAATGATTCATAGTTCAGGGTGGGGTTTATTTAAGCAAATCAAAAATAAATAAATAGTGAAGAGCACACCCACAAACTCTTGTCATCAAGCATGTAGAATGAAATTTCATTTCAAGCAAGTTATGCAGGCTATCACGAGAGTGGTAAACTGTCTAGGTGTAGAGCACTACTAAAAAATTGAGATAATTTAAAAACATTTATAACATTGTAACAAAAAGTGGAGTAACAATTTCCCTTGTTATTTCAAATACAAATCATATTTGAGACCTGCTGTATTCTGTGTGGTAAGGGTGGGTAAAATAAGGTTGTCAAGAATACCCTCCCTCAGGAATTTACAACGGGCTTTCCATAGTCTTAACGGCAGTTTCTTGGGCTGTGGAGGGTTAGTGAAGAAAGAAATTCAAAGCTGGGTCTGCTGACATTCCCTTTAGTAGAAACCCCAGGGGACGTTTCTCATAAGCAATGAGTAAGTAAGAGGAAAGAATGCCAACGAAGCCAGGCCCACAGACGTCCATGTGCAGGACGGAGGGTGGGGAAGCAGCAGAGGACCTACGGGCATGCCGACATGATCTCCTTCTGGAGGCAGAAGGGGCACTCGGCTGGTGAGGAAGTGGTCGTCTTGATGTGATGTTGATGAAGCTGGTAAGGGGAATGTTTCACAGAACTGTAGAGAAAACTGCCTCAGCCCACTGGAGATCCCCTTGCAGAGGGGTCTCGGGGAGGAGACAGCCAGTCAGGGTGCGATGTAGCAA